AGAGAGGGGGATAGGTAGGGAGTGAGGTACTAGGATTGAGTTGTGTAGAAGATACCTACTTCGATAGTGATGTGCGACAAGTGGTTTCTCGGAAGAGGCACGAAGCACCAGTGATATGGACTCTTGTCTCAGAGTCAAGCATTAAGCTGTTCTTGGATGGGGGAAGTGTGGTGAAAATAATTGAAATGGGTGAGATCATGCCTGGGGACTGGTGGTGCAGTGGCTGCGAGCTTGGTAAGGAGAAGAGGACTGACCGTGTTGAAACTCCGCCCCTACGCCTTCACTTATTCCATCCTCTATCAAGGCCAAACGGAAAGAACGCAAAATGATGAGAAACGTAGAATAGAGCCTTCTTCACTTATGATAATGACTCAGATCTGGCACATCCGTGAACGGATCGTGAGCCGTGAATGTTTGGCGTGTTATAAGGGGTAACATTAAGGGGTATCTCTTTCTATTCGTTTTGGTAAATGACAAAAGATCATGGGATCAAATCCACCGGGTAGGGAGAGCTTTCTATTAAAATCCGTCCTGTGCTTGCTTGTTCTGTTCGTCCACCACTACATGAGTCTCCTCGACTTTGATCTCATGACTGTGCTCAAGCTCGGACAGGACGATCCACGTCGGAAAGATGCAGAGGATGGTAATGCCAAAGTTGAGACCGATACTGACAAAATGGTTGGCATCGCCTTCGGATTGCATACTAGTAAAAAGTCAGTGACCGGACTCGGATCAAGCAATGGTTTGATGGAATTATACTCACGCCCACGCCACAGTCTGTCCAAGTGCTTCAACACCACGTAGAATACCAGTGTGATGAGACAACGACGACAAATCAGTCGCATACTGCCCGACAAGCCAGTAGAGGAACTGTTGGAAAGCCTGGCCACCGAAGGTCCAAAAGAATACCAGAGCGTACGATTTACCGAATCCTCCCCTGAACCAATCGAATACAGGGGACTCGGGGGCATCATAGAACTGCTTCTGCAGGATCGTGGCCCAAATCCAAGTACCGATGAGGATGAAGACAATCGAGCAGAAAGCGATCTTGCCTCGAGTCTTGATATGGATGGATTGACGGTCGAGGAGAGAAGCGATGATGAACGAGCTGAAGATGCCAGCGAAGTTGGTGAAGAAGGACGAGAAGGCACGAGCGCGAACGGTGAAATAGGTAGTCAGAAACGTGCTCACGAAACCGTTGTAGAAGTAGCTGATGAAAAAGGCAGGGAGGAGCAGCAGTATGCGCCTGGAGACGAACAGCCGGCCGACAGCTTTGAACTCAGCGCCCCAAGTCGGCATCTTCTGGACGACAGCCTTGGTCCCGTCCTTTCGCCACACCTTCTCGGCCGGACTCAACAGCAGCGCGATCGGCAGGCCCAGGCACATGATGACGATGAAGACGATATACGTCGCGGCGCCGACGGACCCCGCGGACGACTTCTGAGCGTTCAGGCCGAGGTTGATAGCGCCGCCGACGATGGGACCGGCCGCCTTGGCCGTCTGCCAGATGGCCAGGTAGAATGCCCGATCCTGGGGACTCGGGTAGCCGATGATGATCGCGGCCTCGGCGGCCCAGAAGAAGCCGGCGGAGATACCGCAGAGCGCGCTGCCGAACAGCATGAACCAGGTGGTCGCTTTGACGTTGTTGGTGTAGAGCCCGGCGCCGTACAGGGGGTACCCGACGGCGCCGAGGGCCAGGCCGTAGCGCAGGCCGATGCGGTTGTTGATGGCGCCCGCGGCCACGCAGACGACGGCGAACAGCCCGTACACGATGGCGTTGGCGGCCGAGACGGCGTACGGCTCGGCGGCACCGCCGGCGCCCAGGCCCCCGAGCGCATCCCACATGCCCGGCGCCGTGAACGACACGCCGCAGGCGATGGCGATCTGGAAGGGGACGGACCGGAAGATGGAGTGCTTCGGCCTCGACGTGACCACCTCGGGACCGTCGGCCTGGGACCCGTTGGTATGATCCGAAGAGAAGCTCGCCATGGCTACGGATGCGCAGGGGCAGGGGAAGAGGGAGAGGGAGAGGGAGAAGGAGAAGGAGAAGGGGAGAGGCCGTCTAGCGACGCAGGATCTCACAGGAGAGTAACGACAGTAAGAAGGGGGAGGGATGAGTCGTGGAGGCAGAGTCTCATCCTGGGATGAGTGGGCATCCCCATCCTCATATAGTCGCGACGGTCAAGGCGCAATTTCATGACTTGGTGCTTGGTGTCCAGGACCAAGAGAGGAAATTTTCGGTGGATACTGGATGCGCATTGCGTGATCGCCGGCTGCGGAGACTAGTTGTCGGGCCAGAATCATTCATTTTTTTAGTGATTCTTGTTGTATCCTGTAATGGATGGTGAAGGGCAGAAAGGGCCGAAGGCTTCATCCGTTTGCTGTCGCCAATCTGTAATCGTGTTTCATGGTCATCAGCGTGTGAACGTTGTGTGTTGTAAGTTTCTAGGTAAGTATGGATTGTAGTGTTGGGATAGTGAGATGTGAGATGCGTGTAACTTCCTGGAAGGTTAAGGCTGTTTTCAGGCGCTGTACGGAGTAATGTACCTGCCAGTCTGCCTACACAAACCACCTGCAGGGACCTCGGGAATGCGTGGATACTGACTTGACCCCCCTGAAGGCTGCCAGGCTATTGTCAACTCAGAGCCCCCACCATCCATACAGTACATCAACTGGAACCTTGATACCACCAGACATCGAGCCAACGTTTTTACAACGCCATATGTGCTGGACCCCAAGAATATCTCATTCACATGCAGTATGGTAGGTATAAGATGATGATTCACTTCGATGCTGAGCTGAGAACAAATACTCCGAGGACTATTTCAAAGCTATGAGACAGACGCTGGTCGATTCTGTCTGTATGAATGATCCCGGTGCCCGGTGCCTTCATCATATGGAGTGGTTTCATACACCGAGTACAGTAGTAGCAGCAGCAGAAGCCGCTCGAGGTACGTAACCATCAAAATCACGCCATTTGAGGCCAGAATATTGACATCCATGGATCGATCGTGTTCTGCTTGATCGCGCACCGACACGTCTAGAACCCTATCTACCTAACTTGGGTAAGTATCTCGAAGACACCTCGGCGGAATTTCCCTCGGCGCAGGGCGGGTGAAGCATCCATTTCAAGGCACGACCACGATTCTCCCCTTAGACCCCAGGGTCTGGTCGTTCCAAATCTTCTCGACGTCGCCCAGCGCGACCTTGTGCGCGTCCAGCAACTTCCACCTCGTCATCGCCGGGACCAGCGTCTTCATCTCCTCCCGCAGCGCGGGCAGTCTCCAGGCGCCCGGCCCGGCCCCGCGGATGGTGAGATCGTACGACCTGAGCACGTCCGAGGGGATGGCCATGGCCTCCTGGCGCGACACGCCCCCGATCATCACGTACTGCACGCTCTTGCGCGTCTTGCTCATCGACGACAGCAGGTGCACCGTGGCGTCGCCGTACACGTAGTCGAGCACGACGTCGGGCTCGACCCGCGAGAAGTCGGTCTCGGCCACGTCCGCCCGCAACACGATGCGCTCGTCCAGACCCTCGACCGCCGCCAGCGCGGCCTCGTTCCGCGCCACGCCGATCACCCGGCCGGCGCCCAGCGCCCTCGCCACGTGCGCCGCGATGCGCCCGCTGCCGCTCGTCGCGCCCAGGATCAGGGCGGTGTAGTCCCGGGGAAGGTCCCTCGTGCGCTGCGTGAGGGCCATCCACGAGCTCATGCCCGGGTTCATGCTGGCCGCGAACGAGGCCGGGTCGACGGTGTCCGGCAGGGGGTAGGCCGCCGCCTTGTCGACCAGGATGTACTCGGCAAACGTGCCGGCGTTGGCGCCCAGGTCCAACGCGTAGTATAGCTGGCCCGTCGCCTCGTCTTGGCCGACGCAGTCAACGCCCACCCGGTGCGGCAGCGTCTTGGCCGAGTAGTGCCGGCCGGATGCGCGGGCGCGGACGACCTGGTGTAGGCCGGCGGCCAGTACGCGAAGTCGCAGTTGCGACTCGGTCGGTTGGGGTGGGGGGTCGATGGTGACGTTGCGGGGTCCTTCGGACCAGTCCTGGACTACTACTGCTTGCATCTTCAAATTCGTGCTTCTTTTCGAAGATGTGCGTGCGATCCGGAGCAAGTGATTGAATGCAGGTGATATCCTAGGTCGTGAGTAATATATAGATGGCTGTAGGTTACTTTGATGGCGGTACCTGGCTTTTTTTTTTCTCTTTCTACTTCTGCTTCTACTCCTCTTTCTTCTGGTTCTTCCTCGTCTCTTGAAATGACAGCCCATGTGTTACCTTATATACTAGCCTCGTCATACTTCAGATGCACGGCGCCGAGGTGCTGCTGCGCACTCGTTGGTCGCGGTGAGTGGTATTCCCGAGATGTTGAGAGTTAGCTGCCCACGCTGGTGGCTGAAATCTTGCAAAAGCCGAGCTCGTCACTTCGTAGGTCCGAGGTTTTCTGCGAACCTGGACCCTGACACGGACAACTAAATAAATCCCCATGCACTTACCAAGTACCGGCCTCAATCATGAATTTTCTCACGCCATTGGATTGACCTCGAAGAACATAGCACCTATTTCCGACCAATACAAGAGTGTTTTGCTTATGTGTTACACGCGTAAGCTGCATTCATGGACGTTATTTATCATATCATGGCCAGTCAGTACGGAGGAGAAAGTGGCTGCTGACAAAGCCAACAGCAAATTTGCTTGGAAAGCAAAGCAACGTCTCGGGCACCTTCTTTAAAAAAAAAAAAAAAAAAAAAGCCAGCATACCGGCGCTGAACTATTCGCCATTCCCTCACAAACGAAGGACTCGATACCGCTAACTTTAACCATATTATTAAAATCTTGGCCGGAGGAATAGAATTAAAAATGAGAAAAAATTAAAGAATCAAAGTAATGGAAGCGTAGAAGCACGGGAAAAGAAAGAAAGAAAGAAAGAGAAAAACGATCAGGGGATCGAGCCCAAAATAAGCAGTATCGAACCGGAGAAAGCACCGGAGAAGACAAAAAGATGGACAATCAGGGGATTGAACCCTGGATCTTCCGCAGTCTAGAATGGTTCTTGCAAAGCGGACGCGATACCACTTCGCCAATTGCCCCTCGGCGGCTGCTGATGAGCTGATGACAGAACTGAGCTTAGTGCGCCATATATTTCTCAAGAGCGCTGAGCCAATGGGAGGCTATGGGGGCCAATGGGAGCTATTTCTCATATTTTTTCGTGTGGCATAGTGGCGCTGTGGGTCTGTCCCCGAGAGGTGGGCAGGGCGGCGGGCTCCGGGGCGTTGTATGGAGATCATATGCGCTCCAGCGACGACAGACCAGGAGAGCCTCAGGGGCACGCGAGTATCGCTAATAAGAAGAGAGCCACAGGGTTCTCGGTCGCATTTCGTGATCGAAGCCCTCCCCCCGAATCCCTAGGAAGGTCGGGGCCCAATCGGCTTCCAAAAAGGACCGCCTTAAATGCAGACCGACTCCTCGGGCCCTTGGAAGTCTATGGGCCATGAATGATTCTTCACATACCCGAATGAGGACATGTTGTTCATCCAAAACGACTCTGTGTGGCGTGTGCTTGGAATCCCAGCGTGGCGACACAAGCTCACTCCACCTCTGCCCTACCTATCGCTGACCGCAAGCCCGCCAACGCCATCGAGCGCAATGTTCTGTTGAGGCGTGGGCAAATATGAAGCACGCTGCCATGGGCATGGTAGAACCGCAGTGGTGACGATGCTGATCGTCACCTCGACATTCGCTGGTTATCCTAGCTGGCATTTGGCAGTAGACGGTCCGGGGACTCCAGCTTCTATCATGAAACCCAAAGGAGTCATATAGCCAAAAGAAAGCAATTCGAACACGGTCAGAAGGCACTTGACTCATTGCGTTGAAAGGGGAATAGACGCAGCGGAGAGGAAGACTGAAATAGTTGTCATCTACAGTAGGTATCTCGTAGGTCGCGTCCGGGGGCATACCTAGTGGTGCACATGTACTCCGTATCGTGTACCTATGTCCCCTTGCGGCGTAAAAATCATCTTTCTAACCGCTGAAGTAGATGAGCGGTCAGCCTAAAAGCCATTCATTCCTTCCCCCATTATTCGTTTCTTTGAATAGTTCACTCACCCATCCCTTTCCTTGTCTGTACTCCGTTCGAGCTTTCCAAGGCTGGGCAGCAGCTATCTATGTCGTCTTCTCTCGATGCGATATTTTCTAGTCTCAGGGCCATCGACGCCGGATCCGCCCGCTCTGAGGATGATCGCCTACTTCTGCTGGCCGAGATTCACCGCACACTACGCAGAGTGTAGTGGCCGTGGGATGCGGCATGGTACCCATGCCTAGCTAGGTCCATGACACCACCACCGCGGCTGTCGGGACGTTGATCGAGGCTGGTGTCTTCACAGATTGGGCTGATGCTGGTGCCAAAACCATCACCACCTCTGAGCTGGGCGACCTCACGGGAGCCGATATTTTGTGACTCATTGAGTTAATACTCCGTGGGCCTGGATGGCCTCACGCAGCGACTAGGATCAGCTACTCATACCGACTTGGAAGAACGTCTTCTACTCCAGTTAGCAGCCGATCAACTCATTACCGAGACCGATGAAGATACCTGGGCGCCGACACCGTGGTCTTTGCGATTAGGAAGGGAATCTACCTTCGCCCCCCTCTACCGTAGATTCAACCATGAAGTGGCCACCCCGGTCTTCATGACGCTACCGTCCCATCTCAAGGAGGTCGGATTCCAGAACCCGATTGATCCGGCGCAGGGGAATTTCCAGTCCGTCCACGGCCCGGGCTCGACCTTCTTTGGCTACATAGCGTCCGATCCAACCATCAACCAGCACTTCGCCGACGCGATGAACTGTCACTCGGCGTCCAACTCTGACCCCCCCTTGGGTCGATCTCTACGACACAGAACACCAGATCATCCGGGACGCTCGGCCCGGCCGCACCCTCGTCGTCCATGTCTCGGCGGTAGCATCGGTCACGACTCGGAGAGGCTCTTGAAGAAGCACCCGGACGTGCCGGCAGAAAGTCTCATCGTGTAGGACCTACAGGAGGTCTTGGACAAGTTCCCCCTGCTCCCCGGGCCCCCCGGCCTCCCGCACGACTTCTGCAAGCCCCAGCCTGTCCGGGGCGCTCGCATCTACTACTGCCACATCGTACTCCACGACTGGGCCGACGAACAGGCAGCGGAGATCCTGGAGAGGGTCCGCGACGCCATGGAGCCGGGTTATTCTAGGATCCTCGCACACGAGGTGCTGGTCGCAGCGCAGGGCGTGTCATCAACTGTGACCACGACTGATATGACTATGATGGCACTCTTCTCGACACGGGAAAGAAGCAAGAGTGAATGGAGGGGTCCAGTCAATCGACTCGAGGAAATTGAACGAATATGAGAATCCTAGGTTACTAGGTGAAGGGGAGAGAGTATGTTGGGCACATCTCTCGTGTGACACGGAAAATAATTGACAGATGATGTTATTTTCATGCTCGAGTCTAAGAAAAGCCTGATAAAGAATCTCTGTCGAGGTTTGAAGCCACTTCAATATTTAAAGGATACGTACTTAGAAGTACCCCTACCAAGGAACAAAGGCGAAGCACCGCATTCTATGCCATTGTTTCACAATCGCGTACAACTGTATTGTGTGCAAAACAGGGGCTTTCATATGGAAACAGGATGAGATGGTGTTCGAATACACAAGTCTGCCTACTGTCCAAGTATAAATATGACTCTAGGAGTCCTGTTGAAATCCATATCCAGTCTACCATATCAAACACATTCAGTCTACGGTCTCGACCCTCAGATACAAGCACTCCCAACCGAGATATATCACACTCAACAGCAGCAATAATGTCTTCCAACACGACCAAGCCCAGCTACGTTAACAACCCGAGCTCGAACAAGTACCCGTTCAACTCGCCCGGTCACAACTCCAATGTTGGATACGGTAAGCCCCGAGATTCGTCAAGTTCTGGTTCCAAATCGAGCGCTAATGGTCCTTATAAGACGTCCGAATCTGGGAATACTTTTATGGGATCTACGGGATATACGGGATCCAGCAGTTCCTCGAAGAGCTCAAAGTAAGTGCTTTTCTCCCCCTTCCTGAAGAAACACGATATTTGAGCAATCAGGCATAACCCCTGTCATCTTATTCTCCTCGTCACCGCCGGCCGGAGTCAGCAAGTAGAACCAGAGCCTGAATATAATGAATTACCCTTACATTTGAATATTTCCCAAAAGCTTCCTACTGTTTGCCCACGTGAAATGATTATTACACAGTAAAAGTAAAACCTCGATCAGACAGCATCTTGTCCTGTAACAGTGAAGTGATAGATATGCTTTATTTCAACTTACTCTGCAGGTGATACAGATCAACCAGGGAACTGTTCTTCAGATATCGAGAAGTGGCGTAATCAGCGCAAGAACACAACATGGACTACTTTTTACGGATCTTATCAGCGCCTCTATTCTCTGCTTCTACCGACCTAAACAAGATCAGGTCACCGAAGTTACAACAGATCCAAGGTTCAAAAGAGCCTCGTTCCCCCCTAACCCCCTTTTACGCTCCGCCGATGAGATAGATCTCCCCAGTCGCGTCGCTAGACATGAAAAGCCTCCCTTTCGCATCGAATGCCAATCCGACGGGTCGGATACACGCATCCGGGCACGCGGTATTGTTCCGGTTCTGCACGATGTAGGTCACCGCGCTCGTGTCGGATACCTCGGCCACAGGCTGGCCGTCGGCGAACTCGATTCTACCGAGGCGGAACCCGTCAGGGGGGTCGCGGTTCCTGGGACGGGAGTGAGTATAGATTTAATGCTAGTGCGTTCTGACCTTACACCAACTGGTCTGGAATTCCGCTGAACAGGGAAACAAAAAAAAAAGCAGGGTTTGGGGGGGTTGGCTGAACCTACCAGCTGCCATGAAACGCGACGAAAGCCACACTCCCGTCCTCTTTGAACTTGACGTCCAGCGGCGCCGTGTGCGAGGGAAACACGAGCCTAGGCCCCTGCCTCTGCGTTCTGCAAAACTCGTCCACGTCGGCCATCGACTCGGCGGCCGCGACCTGCTGGAACGGGGTGTTCTCCACGCCGCCGAACTGCGACCCGACGGTGATGCCCTCGTTCGCGGGGATGTCCTCCGTCTGCCACGCCGAGAAGCAGGCCGGGTAGCCGTAGTTGGCGCCCCGGAAGGTGTTGTTGTTGTTCTCCGACGCGACGACGCCGTGGTAGTTCAGCTCCTCGGCCGGGTTGTCGTTGTGCAGGTCCGTCGTGCTGCGGCGGATGTCGTCGGCTGAGTTTTCTACTGACCACTGCAAATGACCGTGGAGGACGGAGTCGTTAGTAAATTGAGGCGAAATCAAATATAGCACGAAACGAGTGCGGTGGGAGAGAGAGAGAAGCAAGAAGACTCACGATACCCCCGGTCGACGGATCTTCACCAAGGCCAACCGAGTTCCGCAGCCCCCATCCCAGAATCTCACCTCCGGTGGCGTAATCAGTCGGACTCTCGGCAGCCATCAATTCTAAAATACTGAAGGCCTTGATGATGCTCTTCGCCGCCGCGGTGTCGACGGTCGAGTTGTCAATATTGCCGTCGGAGCCTCGGGACACGAGGAGAACATCCGGAGCCGTCACGGGCGTGAGCAGCGTCCTGGTCGTGTGGCCACCGCTGCTCATCCCCTCGATGAGGATCTTCCTCGCACCGGCCGCGCCGACCTCCGCGTCGTAAGGATACGCGTACACGCTACTCATACTTGATACGAAGAGCGTCTTGCCGTCTTGGCTAAACGCGATGCCGTGGTTGAGCTAAGAGAGTTGTTACAAATACATCAGCATCGACCCATGGCTCGACTGATCCTCATCTTCACTTCACTTCACCCAGGCGGCCTCACCGAGGGATCGGGAATGATCTGGTTGCTCATGCCGGCGCACACCGTTCCGTCCTCGCTCTCCGTCAGCTCGATCCGTCGGATCCCGCCGCCGTTCTGCTCGTTGACGAGCAGGTTGCCCGCCGTGTCGAAGACCATGTCCCGGGGGTACGCCAGCCCGTTCATGACGACGGTGGCCGTGTAGCCTTCGGCGATGTTCAGCTGTGCTGAA